CTCATAATGTTAATCAGATGGGGAGAATTAAAGGGATCTAAGATGAATTTGTTCTGCCCTGGCTGTCAAGCTTGTGCCTAAAAGCTTCAGCCCTTACTATTGAGAGGTAAATAACTGGATTAAATAGCACTTTTGGGCTGACTTCCAGAACATACCTGTCAACCATGGGAGAGCAATAAATAAGCTATTCACAACCCATAAGATGTAATAACTACACCCTCACACCACACAAAGATTGAAACTTGTCTAAGAACATTACAAGTTTTCTACCTGTTCCATGTCCATGACTTCAGCCTTTCTTTATTTACCCCTTTAAAAAAGGGCAAGAATAAACCTCTGGTAGGGAAATATAAAGTTAGTCAGAAGCCAGAGTTGTTGAGTATTGGAGGAGGGAAGTTAAGTTCTTTGGAACTGCAACATGGAAATCGGGATATGGGGAGTCTTTGCTGGCAGATTTTTTTTATAAATCACCCTGCGTTTGGAATCAATATTGCATACTAATATTTTTTAATTATGTGTAAGTAGATATTTGAGCCTCCTTCTGTTTTGCTTTGTTCACATTCATTTCATATTGTTTATAAACTGTCCAATTGAACTGAAAGGGCAAAAGAAAAACTAAGTCTGTAAGTACCTGACTGATGCATTCTCTTATCAGGCTGTTGGGAGTATTTGGCATAGAAGAAATGCACCTTGTTTTTAAAATAATAATCCTGGAATATTCAGGGCTAATGTATGTCGGTGATTTTACAGATTTGATGCATTCTGGGTTGTTCTCGAAAGTTCCAATATATTTCATATTAAAAGCTAATTCTTTGATTTATTCATCACACAATTTAAAGTGGTAGTATTCAAAACACATTTATGTGTTTAACTCTATTTTCATCCTGGCTTTGTATTTCACCTTTAAATCTTTTGGATCTGTTGGATTTAGAGCATGTCTTTTTGTTTTTGTTTTTTCCTTTTAAATTTAGGACTGGATAAAATTGAATTTCTTCAAAGGCATGAAAACCAAGAGATCTACCAGAAGGCTTTTGAACTTATAGAACATTACTTTGGTGTGGAAGAAGAGGATACCAGTATTGCACCTCAGGTGGATGAGAGTCAGCAGCAATTTGTGTTTCAGCAGCAGGAAGCTCCAATGGAAGGATTTCAGCTATAACTATTAAAGTGAAGACAAGGCAAAAATATAAACATTTGCAGCTTTTCAGGGGTCTCCTCTTCATGGCCAAAGTTAGAGGAGAGGTTTGAATGTGTTTTGCAGAACACAGGTAAAGAAGCAGCCCATGCACTTTTATACTTTTTTCTGTTAAATACAACTTTTCATTCATTGTTTTTGGTTTGGGTTTTTTTTGTATTTCTGTGCACTTCATATGTTCAGAAACTGTGAGTAATCAAGTCTAATATAAAGGATTATGTGATTTAACAAGAATGGTTAAGTTTGAATAATAACTTCAGTAGGATTTTAGGTAGTTCTGAATTTTTCATGCAATTTCTGCTACTGCAGTAGAGTTGTTGGCAATTGCATTTTGGCAGTAAACTTGACATGCCCAATCTATATCAAATCTACCTCTGAACTGAAGCAAAAAAGTTGCTTCAGAACTAAAGCATGAAATAAAGATGAGCCTGTCAAAAGCTAAATTTAGAATGTGAAAAATATTTATTGTGAAATGTAGTTTTATGCATTATATTTTGCATAGAGCATAAACCAGTGAAATATATTTGTAAGACATTTAAAAGCATAATGCAGATTTTTGTTTAATATATAATGTTTAAATACCAGATGTTGCTTTGAATATGTGACAAAAAGCTGTTCTGCATTTTGTGGTTTTCAAGTTGTAATCAGCAGAGAGTTGGCTCATCAGGTGATGCTGGCTCCTTATTTCAAGCTGCTAAACAGCACTAAAGATAAGCTACAAATAAAATACTTTGCTGTGTAAGCAATTGCTGAAGTTGCCATAGGGATGTTGTGATTGTAAATGAGAGAGGAGGTAATTTGCGCGGTTGTAAATGATAGGGGAGATGGTTTATGTGACTATCTCCATATTAAAATGTGGTAACAATATAAAAGTTTGACAAATCTTGCAATACTTGCCTTTCTTGAAACACTACTTATTTAAACAAAGTTTAGACTATATGTATGTATTGTATTTTTAACCAAATATGCTACTGCTTTTTGAATTTTTTTTTTAAGTCAGATGTCTCCATTTTCTTTATTTTAGACAAGGCTGTAGAAATGTGCCCTGTTATAATCCATCTTGCTGCAATTGGGGGAAAAACAATCTCTTCTCCATTTGATTGAAGGAAAAAGGTTTGCTTTGTTGTAAATATTAAGTATATGAACACCAAAATGAATCTGAAGATGTCTGCTAAATGTTTAATTTCTAAAACACTTAATGTCTGTTTGCTACTATTCACTAAAAGAAATATATCTAAGAATTTGAAACAGTTCTTCTGTATGCTTTGAAAATCTACATTAGATTTTTTTTTTTTTTTTTTTATATTCAAAATGTCTATACCACACTGCTTGATCTCACTTACCAGTAGCCAGTCTGAATTTGGATTAATGAAAATGTATAATTGTGGTTAAATATATTAGTCAAATATTGTGTTGAAATAATAGTGAAAGCTTTGAGCTATGAAACTATTTAAACCATGTACAATAGTTGAAATTTCAGCAGTTAAAATCACTCTTTCCAGGGTAGTGTGCTTGTCACTAAACAAAATGTTGATACCCTGAGAAATCCAAATTAGAGCATGGTATCATTTATATTCCGTGTTCTGTGTTTAAACTGTTTATAAAATGTGCAAATACTGTTTTCAGTTAAAATTCATAAATTTGTTTTACTTTGAGACTATTAAAGCACTATATATTGTGTAGTAGTTTCAAGGTGAGAATTGAAGCAGATTTTATAAGACTAATAGTCAGTGTGACTATTGTATGTATAAGTAGCAAGATGCAATTCAAAAAATGCCTCCTCATTTGAAATTTTTCTCCTGGAAATAAAAGGTCTGATATGAGGAATATAGGAGTGCGGTTACTATAATTCTGTATAAATGAAAGATTTAGCAAATACTTTTTAAACCTAGATTTGTATAGAATACAGCAGGTTTGAATACTATGCACAATGCTGAGCCAAATTTTTCTTATGTTTGAGACTTGTATTTGTGCCCTTTTTTATGATAGTTCGAGACTTTAGTATACTGGCATTTTTGGCATCATCTCTTCAAAGTTCAGGGTAATTATATTGGAAATTTACAGGATTACCAATTAAATGATGATGATGGATTTTCAGTGTTCTTTTAGTGCAAGCATAATCCTATAAGTATTCAGGTTACAGGGTATTCCACTGTTTCTTGCAAACATTGTTTTGATATTACATAAGCCAGCTGTGCCTGCTTTTATTTTGAGGATCCCATAGATGCTGCATTTATAAGCCTCCCAGTTAAGCCGAATCTAAATTTAAAAAAAAAACACACAACCCCAACAACCTACTTCAGACTTGTAAATGGAGGAAACGGGGGCAGGTTCCAAGTATTATACTTATTTGAGAGGATTACTTCATTTTTTTTGGACATATTATTGTGTATGTCTGAGTGGTTAAAGTGACTGCACTTTATGTGTATAAATACAAATTCATGCCTCTGGTATATTCAAAGTAGTGCTTTTAGTTTAAATAGGAACTAAAATTGATGGACTTTGGTTACTAAAAGGGACACTAGTTATTTAATCTCAACATTTGGTTAATCCTAAAATTGTTAAATCTGGCATTTCCTATTATGTTGCTATGTGTGTGTACATCTAAAATCCACCAATCTCACTGGGAACACTATTTTTTTTTTAAATAGCTATTGTTAATGAATGATCATGGAATAAGAATGTTCTCACAAATTAACAATACCTGTTGTCACAACTGACACTGATTGATTGTTTTCCTAAGCATCACTGATACAATGACGCTGACAGAAAGAAATCAGTTCTGCGCTGTGGAAAGCATTTAGGAGTAGGGGATTGAGCAGGGGCTGTGTTTGCTAAATAGATTTTTTCCATCCTGGTTTTATCCAAAAGGCTATTACAAGTTTTGGGGGGTTTGTTTAAATAATAGACACAGTACTAAAGTGTCCCTTTAGTTATGCAGCTTGTTCCAAAAAACAAGTGTTTTTCAAAATAGCATACCATTTGCTCTGTTTGAATTTGAATTCTGACAAGTTAATCTATGCAAATATGCCACGTTTGTTTTAGTTTCTTAAGCTGTTTGACACTAAATCATAACTAATTTTCTACTGAATTTTATCATAGCACTTTTTGTCTTTGAGAACTTTGTTCATACTGCTGTTTAATTTTGTAGTATTTTCTTTAAACACTATTGCTAGCAGCAATCAGAAGAGGAAAACAAAAAATAGTAATAATGTTGGTGCAGAAATAACTTGACTGTAGAACAAGTTTGGAAAATGATCTCTATTGGGTCTGTGTAAAAGATGCACTATTCTTTTTCCTCCATGTAAATTACCTCCGTTGGGTTTTTGTCTTACAAAAATTAAATCATAAGATTGAAGTGAGACTTTTTTTAAAGTGCAAATTGATATGCAGGGTAAAATGCCTGCTGCTTAGCATGAAACTAGTGCAAAAGTTAATTGAAATCTTAAATGAGACATTTTTCATTCTCACTCATGGCATTATGGTTTGATGTAATGTATGAATCTAAAATGCCTATATTGACTTTAAGTAGAGTGATGGTGCATCTTTTAATCCAGACTGGAGGCCCATTATTGTGTATCTATACAAACCAACACACGAAAAGTATGCAATATTATGGAATGTTTCAATTCAGAAAACTATACAAAAACTAATAAAAGCTATTTTACAGTGGTGAGTGTATTCATTAGTATTCTAAAATTAGTCCTGATTCTTAGAAAATAGCAAAATACAATCTCTATACTAACGTAAGAGCTGAATTCAGTAAAAACTGTGGCTGACTTCCATACTATAGAATACTGTGCCATGCTAGAAAAATCAGCTTTTGGAGAGGGGTTAAACAAAATATTGCATGAAGTGACTTTTAAAACTAGCCTTTAAAATATCTCCTCCTTAAGCATCACATGCCTCTGACCATCACCATCCTTTCTTCATTTGTAAAATTAATTTAATGGGAGTTCCCAAGAGTTTTCAGAGGAGAAGTCTGTAGAGACTAAAATGCTGCCTATTGTGTTTGAGTTTGCAAAATAACTAAGTAAACTTTAGTGAGACAAGGTGGGTTAGGTAATATATTTTATTGGACCAACTTCTGTTGGTGAGAGAGACAAGCTTTTGAGGTTGGTCCAATGAAAGAGATTACCTCTCCGACCCTGTCTCTCTAATATCTGGTACTAACACAGGTACAACGTTGAGTGAGTAAACTGTGTCAGTTCAGCCTGGTCTAGTAAACGAGATTCAACAGAGATACTGTAGTGATGCTATTCATTTTTCCAACTACGTAGTCACTGGCTTCCCTAGTATTTAAATGACTTGTGGCTTGCATAATTTTTTTAGTATGCTTTAATTTTATGTCTATAGAAAAATGTCCAGAATCAAGATCTAGCAGGAAGAGATTTCAGGTCAGGGTTGGTGATGTATGTTGTCTTTGTGGACAGTTACATATTTTTATCAAATTGAGGCAAAAAAAATAAAGCCTCTTGAAACTGGAATTATTAGAACTTTCTAAAGATTTGAACTGACCTTGGTCATCTGCTGCAAGGACTGAAAATATCTCTGTGTAACATAGAAAAAGACACCCTATTCCCTTCCCTCCCAACATTTTTTTGAGTGCAACATTGTTGGGCTCCAATGTGTTGATGTTTTAACATAGCAGTCTGCTAACTAGTTAGACCGTCACTAATTATGCCAAGTAATGTTTTTTGTAGTGTTTGCTCCTACTAGCAAATCCACAGTTTTTAATAGAAATATTATTTAGTCTTAGATTCTGCTGATATTGCAGCCTCTTCACGCCACTTGGCTTTCTTTGCTAGGTTCCAGCTTGTTAGGGACTCATGGTGTTCAGCCTGCAAAAATAAAACATAGGCTTAAGAGTGTGAATCACTAAATTACACTTAAGAAAAACCTTGCATCATGGTAGCAGCTAACGTTTTTCTTATGCTTTATGAATACAGGTTTGTGGAAGGAGTGTTACCTAAAATACATAAATTTGATTTAAATTTTAGTCACTAGCAACAATTTTTATATATATAAATAAATATATATATAAAAAATAAGTTCCATCAATATTTACAAGATTTTTATATTATATTTAATTATCTCCTTGTTGTTAAAAATACATGGCAATATACCCACCCTTCTAGCTGATGCAATCACAGCAAAGCAAGCGATAATTGTGAGTCCAATCATTAGATAACAGGCTTTTACTCGAGCTTTGTTTCTTGCAATGTCCAGCATTTCTGGCCTACAAGTAAAATTGCATTGAACAAAATTAGCATGAAACATCAAGAAGTTCATTTAGCACACCACAGATATAACTTTGGTTGATTTTTTTAACAGAAATGAAATTTCCAGCGGCTAATATGTGACCATTGTGGGCTTGGCATGTATTACTGGGCGTTGTCTGTCTATTGACTCTTTTTTGCACTGTAGGACCTAATCCATCTCTAGTTGTAAACAATGCAAGATGGATTTGAGTTTCTTGATCTTTCCTAGAACTATTTGCAATGTTTGAGATAAGCAGGGTGTAAACAACATTTAAAGTTATTGGTCGATAGTGATGTGGTGAATTTCAAATACTTCCACAGATATGAAAGAACTCTGTTAGAAGGGAACTGACATTGCTTGATGTGAGGAGTTCTCTTGACTATTTCGAAATAGATATATTAGTTGTAATACCTAAACAGCACTTCAAAAACTGCTTAAAGTTTTGACTGTATCCAATCTACTATAGATCTGGGATTTCACAATATTTCTTATGTTAATAAAACTGATCAGTTTCACACTATCATGGGTTTTAGTCTTGTGCATCACCTGTTTATTTTTAAAAGGATAATTTTGGTATTAAATTAGCACAGGCAACATTTACATGCTTTCACAGTTTTGCATGCCTAAAAAAGAGCAGACCATGCTGGCCATGTCAGAGGTAGTGTGATTTGTTGTCTAGAGCATAGTCAGGTCTTTCCTTGAAAGCTGTTTGCCACACTTACATTCAAATACAGCTCTTTACCTGCCAAAAAAACCCAGCACCCTCTTTCATCCTTATCCTGGCTTTCAACAATCCCACCCCCTGCTTCAGATCTCCCCTATCACTTGCTGGTTCTCTCCTTGTTCTCAATGTGTGCATTCCTGATTTTAGCTTTCTCTGATTTCTAGTTCCTGAAGTAATTGGGAACCACTAGTGGACCATGAACTAAACACATGCTGGGAAGCAGAAAAACAGAGAATCTCTCCAAACCACACACGAATGATCTCCCCTCCATCCACCAGAATACATTCCTGCCCCCCACCCCCATTTTGAGAACCTGTGATTTAGTCTAACCCCTTGCCACAATACAGGATTTGCTGTGTCTAAAGCATCCAGTTCCGTCTGTTCACTTTTTGCATTAAATGGTCTTAAAATTCAGTTTAGTTTTAATTGGCTCATTTTAAAAAAAAAAATACGTTCTAAAAGGCATCCCATATGAAAAGACACTTTTTTAAAACTACATCTAATGAGCTTAGACTACAATATTAGACGTTCCCTCCAAAAAATAACAACCCTGTGAAGTGCACAAACACGAGAACCTGACAGCATTACTAGCAGACAAAGCATTTGGTAACAAGCTCTGCCAAAATCTACCTTAATATAGAACATTTTTGAAAGGGAAAGGGTATAGTGAAATTGTGGGGCCTGCGGTGCTTCCCTTCAGCCCATAAAACCTACACCACACACAATGGCAAATCTTACAAACAACTGAGCTAACCCTCATTTACAGTAATGAGTTGAGGGTGTAATGCACTTCTAAGGGAGCTGTCAGGGCTTGAGGTTTGATCATCAGTGTGAGGATACTGTAGCTGTATTTCATAATGCTAAACACATTAGGTATGAGAGATCAAAACCAGACTAGTGCATAAAACTATTAATCTAGGATCCATTTGAAGCAGCAGAAGCTGAAATATAAATGCATTATTTGTCTGCCTTAATTCCTTAATCATATTTCACAATGCACTAATTGAAGCTGTTCTGAAGCAGAATCCCAGTTCCTGCTTTCTGCCACTGTTTCAAGGAAACAGACCTAATTATGGTTTTCTGTAGTCTTTCATTAAGGACTGTATCCCTCAATCCTTACTCAAGTCAAACTCCTACTGAAATCAGTGGAGATTTGTTTAAGCAAATCTTGAATAAGGACTGCAGGATTTGGTCCTTAATGCCAAATATCTTACAGGAGCAGATTTTACTCACATGTAACATTTGCTTTGCCATTGCAAAGGGCCATTTTGATAGCTAATCATTTTCATTTTTAATTGCTTTACATTTGAATCTTCCGAAAACACTTATTACATTGCTCTCCTATTTCTCTCTAAAGGATAACTCTCTTGTACTGAAGACTGAGTGTGAATCTTTGGCCCTGCTGAAGTCATGGAAGTTTTGCCATGGACTTCAAGAGGTCAGGATTTCTCAGTAAGGGAGGAAATTCTGACAAGAGTAAGATGAGTAGGGAACAGCCATGGGATTAATATTGGACAAAAGTTGGGGCTATTGTTGCTTGCAGAGATGCTATTGCTTATTTTCTCAGTTGCAGTAGGAATGAAACTAGGGAACAAAGGAAACCTCCTGGAGTCATCCTTGAAACTATATCTCGATAAAGTTCAGTATGTTATATATGGCCAAGCAAGGATGAAGGCTGATGATGAAAAGTACAGTTCTGTGGATGAGTTACATTTTGTGTCTGAGGCTGAGGAATAAACATTAGTTAATGTTACATGAACTTCACATTTCTATTTACTTGGGGAGGGAAAAGGGAGAAGAATTGTCAGTGACGTGAACTGAGCTGGTGGTGGTTAGAGGGGGAGCAATATTGTGGCATCAAGACTTACTCTCAGGGTATTCAGTATTGTCCTAGAAGTAACCTCTTCCAAAGTTGGTCTTTTTGGTTTTTTTTTTTTTAAGCAGGCAGTAAGTATATATTTCTCTCTCTCCTCCCACCCTCTTTCTCAAATACTTCTTTGCCTTGTCATAAAGTGTATTGAATGGATGATCACTAAATGATAACATCAAACAAGTTAGAAGATATATTTTGTTTATATAGTCCGTAAACAGAAAATACTGTTTACTGATAGTCTTCCTCTGATTACACATTAGATAAACCAAGCAAATAAACAAGCTGGTCTGTAAATATAACCAAAGCTCAAACCACTACCGCACTTAGGGCCAAATCCTGTCCATCTTGCTCGGGGACGTAGTTCTATTTCTGATGATGATGATGATGAGCACCAGGTCTTGACTCTTAAACTGTAAAATGTAAAATCATCTAAAAATGCCTGAAATCCTCAAGGGAAACTTATGGGGGAGGGAGAGATCTGGAAAACTTTTAGCCATTGGTTTTATATTTTAGCATTTTGAGTTTTCCAAATTCCAGAGATTATATATTGTTGAAGGTTTAATACCCTTCTCTCATGCTCTGATGATTACACCTAGCCTTGTTTGGATGTACAGTATTAACTCTTTTGATAGTATGTGCTTGTCTTCTCTTGGAAATTCTGTCATGATGGTCATGCTAACAAGCATCTGGCCACAAATAAGGGGCTGCTCAGTGAAGGAGCCAGTTCTGTCTCAAGAATCCACCACAATAGGATACAAGACTCGATCCCTCAGCAGCCACCTTACTCCCAGCAAGTGAGAATACAATGGCAACCTGAGGTGAAAATGGAGCTGGGACCTAATAGTGAGACTAGAAGCCACTGGGTCGGTGGGAGAGAGGAGGCGATATGGAAGCAGAGGAAGAGGGGGCACAGCATCTCATCGTCCCTTATGTCTGTCTTGTAATTTTTCATTGACCTTTCAAATGTAAAACGTTGACAGGTTCAAACTTTTGGGTCAGTTTGAAAAGGAGGAACCCTCTTTTCATCCCAGTAAGCCTCAGTAGGAACCAATGATGCACTTACGGGATCCTTGAGGGAATCTCTTCTTCAGTCTTGAAGCGTCCTGTCCACATGAGGATTTTTTTGTCAAAGTTGGAAGGTTTGTAACTACCTGGTACTTTGTACATCTTCTCGGCTGAAAGATGAACCAGAGAAAAGCACCTCATCACTTTGTGCACTGGAGAGGTAATGGGATTGGGGAAGAGTGTCCCTAGCCATGGTCCATCTCTATTACTGGATTCTGGTAAAGACCTTAACCTTTACTCTTGAGTAACCTTCTTTCCTGTGCCTCAAATCACCTATGTTCTCTGTTTGCAGTGGTGATGTGGCCAAGAAGGTCCCAGGATACTAGAGAGACAAAATGGGTGAGGTAATGTCTTTTACTATACCAACTGCTGTTGCTGAAAGAGCTTGGAAGAGTTCAGTGTAACTCAAAAGCTTGTCTCTCATATTTTGGGTCACACTTGTGGATCTGGGTAGAAACTGGATCTACCTGGAATCTGCTGATTTTTGTACCCATGTCCCTGAATTGTACCATCAACCTAAAGATCAAGTCTGCCTGCTCCTATTGTACCTCAGAAATCTAAACCCTGCTGCACCATGGCACATGAGTATTGTAAAACTTCACTTCCGCACCTGGCTCCAGCCTCAGCCCAGAAAAAGTTTAGGTGCTCCCATTCCAACAAAACCATCCAGATGTTAATTCAGCCTGGGTGTATGACACAGCTGCTTGAACCTGGATCTGGTAACTGGATCCTGCAAGACTTTGGCCTCAGTCACCTAAATTCCACAGTTTAACATGAGAACATGTTCAGCTGTTTCTGCTCCATCTTAAAAATCCAGCCCCAGTAGCATCCCACTGTATCAGCACCTTAAACTAGATATTCAGATTGAGGCTTGGGAGCCACAAGTGGCTCTTTAATGTGTTTCTTGTCTTTGCAGGACATATTAAAAAAAATATGATTTAATTATTAACCCAACAGGCTGCTTTTAATATGTTGTTAACCAACTGTAAAATACTTGCTTAGGCATTTTGCTGTGAGAATAAAGTGTGTGTGTGTGTGTATGTGCGTGCGAGGGGGTAAATGACCTAATGAATTCACACTACAGTGGCTCTTGGGTAATGTTGCTATTGCTAATTTGGCTCCTGAACCACTGGGGTCCCACTACCACTGCCTTAAAAGTTCAGATCAAGCTGCTGTATCTTGGCAAATTTTGGTCACAACTCCATAAATGACAGGTTGCAGAGTAGCAGCCATGTTAGTCTGTATTTGCAAAAAGAAAAGGAGGACTTGTAGCACCTTAGAGACTAACACATTTATTTGAGCATAAGCTTTCGTGAGCTACAGCTCACGGTATGCATCCGATGAAGTGAGCTGTAGCTCAGGAAAGCTCATGCTCAAATAAATGTGTTAGTCTCTAAGGTGCTACACGTCCTCCTTTTTGCGAACTCCATAAACGTTACCCTCAAACTCGAGAACAAATGCTTCTACTGCTGCACCAGAAAAAGGTAGCCCTATGCCATTTCCTCCTGGGGCAGGTCGGAGGTGGTTTTATGGGGGGACCCGAGGGGCGGGTTCTCTGTGTTAATGGTACAATTTGGGGGCTTGGGTCCAAACCTTGGCTGGATCGAGGCGCCTCCAGCGTTTATTTCCCCCCCTCACCCCGCCTTACTGGCCTGAAGGAGAAGGGAGAGCCGGAGTGCTGCAAACGCCCCGCCAGGACACGTCCCAGCGGGGAGCCCCTGGTGCTTGCCAGGGCCCTGGGGTGGGGTGCAGCGGAGCGGGTGCAAGCAGCCTGCCAGCGGGAGGGAGGGAGGGAGGGTCTCTGTGAGTCACAGCACAGGGGAGCCCCGGGCTCCCCGTTTACTCACCCGAGCTGATGGCCCCCGGGCTGCGGTTGTGGGCGCTGCTGGAGGAAGCTGCAGTGGCCGCGATCCCACGGGCTGCCGGCCGGAGCAGGGGGGCGTGCAGCTGCCCTTCGGCCAGGAGCCGGCCCAGGCAGACCCGGCTCCTAGCTGCCGCCAGCATAGCGAGGACCCCGCTGCTTGGCTGCCGCCGCCTCCCTGCGAGGCGGCTGAGGCAGGGCAGGCAAAGCGAAGAGGGGACCCCGCACCCCTGCCGTCCCCAGAGCAACCGGTACCAGCTCCAGCCCCTCGCAGCCTCCCTGCGCCCGCCCCCTCCTCCGGGCCGGCGAGCGCCAGCAGCTCTTCCCAGCCTCTGCCCCCACACCGCTCGCTAGCCCAGCTCAGGGCTGCAGCCCCCTCGGGATCTGCCTCCTCCCTCCAGCCCAGCGAACTTCACCAGGCTCCCAGGCACTTGCCTCCCCCTCCGCCCCCCCGTCCCATAATCCCCCCCTTGGGAAACTGCGAGTCCCAGCTGCTGCAGCTCTGGTCCAGGATCAAGTGGCTGGTGCTTCCCTCTCCCCCCTTGGGAAATGCCGCTACGACTTCTCTCATCTCCTATGCAGGAAGGAGGGAGGGAGCTGCTTCTCTTCGCTCAGTATGGTGACCCATCTCCATCTGCCTGCCCCCTGGGCCGGGAAGGCTGACTTCTTACCTGCTACCCCCTCAAACTGCTGCCCCCAGCGAGTCTCTCATTTCTGCTCCGATGAGCTGGATCTGATGGGTGCGAGAAACCAGGGAAGATTTTGCTTCTCGCTGGGCCAGGGCTGAGAGGCCTGATCCAGGCTGGCAAAGTGTGAAGGAGAGAGAAACATCCATCACACTGGTAAAAGTGTGTGGTCAGAAAATACTTCACACCAATGTGGTGGGATAGATCCATTGTAAATTAGCAAACGGAGGGGGGGTGGGGGGAGGGGAGGAAGGGAGACATAAAGTCAGTGCCTGCATATCAGACTTCCCTCTTGTCAGTCATGAAGTATCATGTAGCTGCCCCAGTGTGCACAGTGCCTGAAAAAATGGAGGCCTGATTCTTGAATGGCGCTGTTAGATGCAACCACAGTTCAAATAATAACAGTGGATTCTGTCCCTGCACATAGTCTCACTGCTGCCATTCTAGGAAAATGCCAACACCAGCACAAATAAAGGGTTTGCCAACATGAGAACTCATCATGTTCCGATACGCAGAAATGACCAACAAGAAAATGTAGATGTTCTGTTTAAAAGGGACTCATAAATCACCTTCTTGCGCCAGCAATTAGTGCCAGTGCAGTGTGCAAAGCCAACAGCTAATTTTCAGAAGCTTCAAAAAGTATCAGGGCTAAGCTCAATGTTGCTAAATTATGTTTCTAGTCCTTTGCCATGTAAAAATGACCTTGTGACTGAAAGTTAACAGACTGCAGGGACGGAAAACTCGTCACGGATTTTTCCTAAAGATCCTGGATTATTCATTGTACCCCTTCTACCACCCACGTCTGGCCTTTGTCGCTCTATGAATCCCGTGGTCACAGGTCCCTCAGTCATTGGAAGGAACCCCACCAGTTTGTGGCTGAGGGACGTAGTACCATGCATGCTGTAACTACTAGCAACATTGCTGCTTCATGCAGCCTCCCAGCAGAATTGATGCAATTCCTTGTGTAGGGGCATTCCTGGGAGAAAGTGGGGAGCTCTCTATATCTTGGTAGTCCTATTGCCAGGACAGTCCCTTTGGGGCAACAGGCAGCTTGGCATAGTTTAGAGCAGCCCTGAGGCTGTAGGGACCAAAGTGCCTCTTGCCTGCCCCAGGATTGGGGGAACTCAAAGATGGCACAAAGCCACTTTCCTTTTCACCCCTACTCCTCAGTGAGTGCAGCTCTCTAGACTAGAGAATCTAGCCCCTGGTACACCAGGGTGTTATAATTCTGGCTGCTTTATGATAGCAACCTTAGGGAACTCTTGAACACTTCAGGGTGCGGTAAATAGCCTTTTTCTTCACTTCGCTGTTTATAGGGGAATGTAAGGCTTCACATGTCTTTCCTGTGGTATCTTCACCTAATAAAAAAACAGAGAATAGTTTCCACATAGAAAGCAGTATGTTTAGTACTTCCTGCACAGAAAACCATCTGCTCTATATCATGGATGGGAGGAGGAGTTTTTTGTTTTATTCCCTGGGCATGCACAGACTACATTATTTGTGTCCAAACTCACGTACATCCTAAAAGCAGCCCAGTATGTCCAAGTGCCCTTTGCAAAAATGGGAGATGGGTTGAAAATGCAGCTGAGGAAGTGACATGGATTTTGCATTATTTAGTTCCTTGCAGAATTTCCTCATGTAGTTTTCCTCACGATTTGCTGCAGAAGTAAACTATTTCTCTCCATTTTATGGCACACTAACTTTTTCTTCAGATGTGCTGCAAATGGAACAGCATTGCAAGATCCAAGGACCTCCTGGTCAGCCATGATGGTGCATCGCTTCCACTAGGAATTTTGACAGCAAAAGTTTTTGTTTGTTTCTTTTTAAAAAAGCTGCCAGTGGAAGATGCCCAGGGATCTTTTGTACCAGGAATTTCTGTTGCTTGAATCAAATTAATCATATGTTCCACTGCTGTGCATATTTTTCATTCATTTGGCTCCATTTGGGAAGTCCTCTGGCAGCCAGAGCGGAGCGGGAAAGTTGTGCCTGAATGAAACCACCCCCCTGATTCCATCTGCCCCCTTGCTCTAGCAAACTTGCATGCTACATCTCTTTCCTCACATTTTTTACATTAGAATCCAGTGCTGGTAGCAGAAAGAGATGTGGAACAAACCATTTTCATTTTTCAATACAAAGCTGAATCAATATGTCCCATATGCTACTATCGCATATATCACTATTTCTAGGATATCACCACTTTTCTCAAGGCTCAAAAATGCAAATTCGAATGAAATACTTCTCAATTTATTCCAGATAAGTACTTTTTCCGCTTTTACGATGCTTGACAGAGCAAAGAGGTGTGCTATAATTGCAGGGACCTCAGGCAGTGGTAGTAGGGTTGCCAACTTTCTATTTGCACAAAACCAAACACCCTTGCCTCACCCCATGCCCCGCCCCTCATCCAAGTCCCTGTCCTGCCCCTTCTCTGAAGCCCCGCCCCCACTCCATTTTCTGCCACCCATCACTTGCTTTCCCCACCCTCACTTGCTCATTTTCTCTAGGCTTGCTCAGGGGTTGGAGTGTCGGGGGGGTGAGGGCTCTGGCTTGGGGTGCGGGCTCTGGTGTGGGGCCAAGGTGAGGGATTTGGGATACAAGAGGGGGCTCGGGGCTGAGGGGTTCAGAGTGAGGGAGGAGGCTCCAGGCTGGGATGGGGGGTTGGAGTGGGGGTGTGTGTGAGGGCTCCAGCTGAGGGTGCAGACTTGGGGTGGGGCTGGGGATGAGGGGTTTGGGCTGCAGGAGGGTACTCTGGGCTGGGACCAAGGGGTTCAGCGGGTGAGAGGCGGATCAGGACTAGGGCAGGGGAGGGGGGCAGGGGAGCAGGTTCCCGGCCCATGGGGTCTGTGGAGCCAGTGCTTGGGGTGGAAGGCAGCCTGCAGAGCCCCCTGGCTGCTCCACGCATAGGAGCTGGAAGCGGGACATGCTACTGCTTCCATGAGCCGCACGGAGCCACGGCAGGCTGGGAGCCTGCCTTATCCCTGCTGCACCGCCGACCGGCCAGATGCCTGGCAACCCTAAGTGGTAGCCCAAGTGGTAGCACCTCGCTTTCTTATATTCTTTGCCTGTGGGACGCACCAATTTGGTCTAGCTCAAGCTATTAGGCTCATTTGAGGGGTATCTGGGTGAAATTTAATGGCCTGTGATATACAGGAAGTCAGACTACGTGGTCTAATGGGACCTTTAGTCCTTAAACTCTGTGAAATTATGGAATATCTGTTGTATTTTTAAAAGTTACAATTTACATATGTAGTACTAATTAATATCCCTAATCAACTGAAACAAATATGTGTGGATTTTAGAAGAAATGGGAAAGAAATCACTGCAGACAGCAGCACAACACTAATAATAATGCAACTTAATTTTGCATAAAAAATATTTCTAATACACCAGCAAAGAGGCAGGTCACTTTAACAGTTATTAGGCGGCACTAGAACTTCCTTGGCCAGCACACACACAAAAAATGAAATATTAATGCACCACTAGATGGCAGCAGCACAAAAATTACATAGAACACTAGTTCGGCAAGTAGGATCAATATTGGTGAAATGCATCTGGAGTGCTATTATGGGTTAGTGCCTTTAAAACAAATATTGAAGTGCTACCAAACAGTTCACACTAATTTTCTCCACTGGTGGAGGGTGAGGTAGGCATAGAATCATAGAATCATAGAATCTCAGGGTTGGAAGGGACCCCAGAAGGTCATCTAGTCCAACCCCCTGCTCGAAGCAGGACCAATTCCCAGTTAAATCATCCCAGCCAGGGCTTTGTCAAGCCTGACCTTAAAAACCTCTAAGGAAGGAGATTCTACCACCTCCCTAGGTAGCGCATTCCAGTGTTTCACCACCCTCTTAGTGAAGAAGTTTTTCCTAATATCCAATCTAAACCTCCCCCACTGCAACTTGAGACCATTACTCCTCGTTCTGTCATCTGCTACCACTGAGAACAGTCTAGAGCCATCCTCTTTGGAACCACCTCTTAGGTAGTTGAAAGCAGCTATCAAATCCCCCCTCATTCTTCTCTTCTGCAGGCTAAACAATCCCAGCTCCCTCAGCCTCTCCTCATAAGTCATGTGTTCTAGACCCCTAATCATTTTTGTTGCCCTTCGCTGGACTCTCTCCAATTTATCCACATCCTTCTTGTAGTGTGGGGCCCAAAACTGGACACAGTACTCCAGATGAGGCCTCACCAATGTCGAATAGAGGGGAACGATCACGTCCCTCGATCTGCTCGCTATGCCCCTACTTATACATCCCAAAATGCCATTGGCCTTCTTGGCAACAAGGGCACACTGCTGACTCATATCCAGCTTCTCGTCCACTGTCACCCCTAGGTCCTTTTCCGCAGAACTGCTGCGTAGCCATTCGGTCCCTAGTCTGTAGCGGTGCATTGGGTTCTTCCGTCCTAAGTGCAGGACTCTGCACTTATCCTTATTGAACCTCATCAGATTTCTTTTGGCCCAATCCTCCAATTTGTCTAGGTCCTTCTGTATCCTATCCCTCCCCTCCAGCGTATCTACCACTCCTCCCAGTTTAGTATCATCCGCAAATTTGCTGAGAGTGCAATCCACACCATCCTCCAGATCATTTATGAAGATATTGAACAGAGAGGCAACTCTCTCTGAGTCTTATAAATCTAAATATAGGCATAATCTTAACCGTTTCTGAAATCAAATGTTTAAGAGTCACACACCGTGGCCCTGACAATTGCTGGAAAACATGGGCACTAAAGAAAAGTAAAGAACTACCAGCAAC